CCGGCCGCCCTCCTCCGTGGCTCCCTCCCCTCGCCCGCGGCTGGCCAGCAGCGGGGAGGAGCACGTGCTGGCGTTGCCTGGTTGTTCTCCTCGCGTTCGCGCGTGTTCGCGCGTGTTCGCGCGTGTTCGCGCGTGTTTTTTGTCTGCTTTCTTCGTGCTCCTCGTGCTGTCTGTTTGTTCTCCTCGTGCTCGCGCGTGTGGCTTCTGGGCGCACGAGGATGATCTACATCAGCTGTAGGGTGTACAGTTCCCAGCCATCCTGCGGTGCTGTGTCCCCGTTCTGAAGAGACGGTCCCCGCGTTCTCCTTCCTCCTTCCTCCTTCCTTTCTCCCTTCCTCCTCCTCCTCCCTCCTCCTCCCTCCTCCCTCCTTCTTGCGTTTCACCCACCCAGTACAGCGTTTCGTGGCCCCATAGGGAGCTCCACCGAAGGCTCCAGTGCCACCGCCCGCATGAGTTACCCACGCCCCTTTCAGCACACCCCTCACGCGTTTCGCGGCCCCATAGGGAGCTCCACCGATGGCCCCAGTGCCACCGCCCGCATGCGTTACCCACACCCGTTTCGTCACAGCCCTCACACGTTTCGCGGCCCCATAGAGAGCTCCACCGAAGGCCCCAGTGCCACGCGCGAAGCCACGGACCATGCTTCCCGAGCCCAAGTGGAAGAATGGGTTGTTCCATATTTCAAACGGAAATGGAAGTGGGCATCCCGTGTGGCGACACACGATTGCGACAGGTGGACTTTCTTAGCTGCCTCATGGAAATCACGCTCAAACGACCCGCGCCCAGCGCACCGGCGGCACGGAGGTCAACGAAAACGATGGGCAGACGACATCATGCACTTCTTACGCGCCAAGGGCATGTGTGAAGACCGCGACGACCAGGAACGCAACAACCAATGGTTTCCAATTGCAGCATCTCAACAGTTATTGAGGGATCTAGAAGATGTTTTTATGAAATACGCCTACGCCCGTTACAACCTATACGATCTGGAATGCTTTCCCAACTTCAGCGTTACGTGTTCTGCCCACTCTGTTCGTTTCTCCGACTTCTGTTCACACCTTATCGACTCCGGTTCCCGTCCATCTCTCCGAGTCCGGCTCAGGCTCCGACTCCTGCCCCCAACACGTCTCCTGAGGGCTCCGGCCCCCCCGCGCCGCCCTATGAGGGCCGGTCCCGCCGGACCGAACTCGCGCGCTCGCTCGCTCGCTCGCCCGGTGCCACCGCCCGCATGCGTCACCCACACCCATTTCGTCACACCCCTCACTCGTCTCGTGGCCCCAGAAAAGCTCCACCGAAGACCCCAGTGCCACCACCCGCATGCGCCACCCACACCTATTTCGTCACATCCCTCAGACGTTTCGTGGCCCCATAGGCAGCTCCACCGAAGGCCCCAGTGCCACCGCCCGCATGCGTCACCCACACCTATTTCGTCACATCCCTCAGACGTTTCGTGGCCCCATAGGCAGCTCCACCGAAGGCCCCAGTGCCACCGCCCGCATGCGTCACCCACACCCATTGCGGCACATCCCTCATACGTTTCGTGGCCCCATAGGGAGCTCCACCGAAGGCCCCAGTGCCACCGCCCGCATGCGTCACCCACGCCCATTCGGGCACACCTCTCACGCTTTTCGCGAAGGTGCCAGTGCCATTGCCCGCATGCGTCACCCACACCCATTGCGGCACATCCCTCACACGTTTCGTGGCCCCATAGGAAGCCCCAACGAAGGCCCCAGTGCCACCGCCCGCATGCGTCACCCACGCACGTTTCGTCACACCCCTCACGTTTCGTGCCCACCGCACCCATTTCGGCACGGTCCCAGTAGCTGCGTTCGCATGTGCCCACCGCACCTATTTCGGCAGACCTCTCACGCGTTCCGTTGCCCCATAGGTAATTCCACCGACGGCCCAAGTGGCTGCTTTCGCATGCGCCCACCAGAATTTTTGGCACACCCATCACACGTTTCGTGGCCCTATAAGAAGCTCCCCCGAACGCGGTGCATACATCGAGGGTACTCACAACTGCATATGGTTGGGTCCTACGCCAGGCAATTTTTTGTTTTTATGTGTATGCGATTCCGTAGCACGTGTATACATGTGTATATCCTACTGACTGGGTCTTCATGTATTTCATTGTTATTGGCCCCGCCCGCGTATCCAGTGCTATGAGATCCTTGGCCCCCTTGGACCTCCTTCAACCCCCTGCAGAGCTTCCCCTTGGTCTTCGAGCCGTCTGGACGCCCCTGGGCGAAAACCGCTTCAAGACGGAAAAACCCAAGACGGCCGAGCATTCCCCAAGATGGGCCCAAGAAAGCTCCCAGACGCCCTTCAGAGCACTCAACATCGAGACCTGGTCCTTGAGGGAAGCCGCCAGGAAGTTGGTCCCAAGACTTGTTTCCCAGAGACCCTCAACAGGCTTCCAGAGGGCTTCCACTGGCCCCACAATAAGCCTCCAATGAACCACAGGAAGGCCTCCAAGAACCCCACCCGAATCGCATCCTCCGCAAAATTGATTAACTGGCGAAAGCAGTCTCTCAAAAGCTTCTCATATGGCTTTCAGGGAGCACCACGTAGAGCAACCCTGTTGATTATACCACTTCGAAGGCTCTTAAGATAACAGTTTCGCGTGCGAGCGCACAATACTGACATACAATCACTATGGCTTCTTCCCGAATCATTGCTTGCATTTACATGTTCTCATTCCTTTCCGAGGAACTGGGCGTGCGGGTCGCTCTGGCCGCCATGCGGTCGCCGTCGCCTCCTCGTCGCCGCCCGTCGCCGCCCGTCGCCCGTCGCCTGCGGGCCGCTCGGGGGTGCCATGTGGGTGCCGCTGCCGCCTCGTCGCCGCCCGCACTGCACCGCACATCTCGCACAACAGAGATTGCGTCACATAGATTCTACGGCAGAGATTGCACAACATATGTTGCCCAACCAATTTTGCACAGCATGAGTTCTCCTTTCGAAGAGAGTATTCGGATCTACCTCCCCCCTTCGGACATCACGCACCGTTTTTTGTATTGCAATTTGAGTATGGATCTGTTCCATCGTCCATCCGAAAGTTGAATTCATGGCATCCCAGGCAGTCCCTTATCGCCGCATCTCACCCTCTGCAAAAATACAATGCGCGCGCATTCGTTTATCAACAGTCATCAGTTTTCAAGACTCTTGCAACAAACGGCGAAACGCACTCGCGCGCGTCGTCGCGCGCTTGCCGACATCGTTGACACATCGTAGGCTTCGTACGTATTTCAAAATCGAGTGTCCAGAAAACATATAAGTCATCCTGGCGAAGGATCCTACCAAATGCAGTTGTGAGTACCGTCGTTGCGGGTATCGCATTGGGGGATCTCCTCATGGGGCCATGAAGTATGCGAAGGGTTTGCCGATATGGCGCGGGGCCGCTATGTGGGCGCTGCCAGTCGGGCTTTAGGCGAAATCCACGATGGGGCCGCGAAACGTGCGAGGGGTGCGCCGGAATGGGGCGGGGCCGCCACTGGGGCCTTCGGTGGAGCTCCCAATGGGGCCACGAAACGTTGTACTGGGTGGGGAACGCATGCGGACACCGCCACTGGGGCCTTCGGTAGAGCTCCCTATCTCCCTATGGGGCCGCGGGAAACGCATTCGAACACCGCCACTGGGGCCTTCTGTGGAGCTTCCTGTGGGGCCGCGAAACACATGCGAACATCGCCACTTGGCTTCCGGAGGGGCTCCTTATGGGGACAAGAAGCGATGTACTGGGTGGGGGAAACGCATGCGAACGCCGCCACTGGGGCTTCCAGTGGAGCTCCGTATGGGGCCACGAAACGCTGTGGTGGGTGGGGGTCCCGCATGCGGACACCGCCATTGGGGCCTTCGGTGGAGCTCCCTATGGGGCCACGAAACGTTGTACTACGTGGGGGAAGCGCATGCGGACACCGCCACTGAGGCCTTCGGTGGAGCTTCCTATGGGGCCACGAAACGCTGTACTATGTGGGGGAAGCGCATGCGGACACCGCCACTGGGGCCTTCGATGGAGCTCCCTATGGGGCCACGAAGCACTGTGCTGGGAAGGGGCCCCGCATGTGAGCACCGCCACTTGGTCCTTCGATGGAGTTCCCTATGGGGCCAAGAAACGCTGTGCTGGGTGGGGGAAGCGCATGCAAACACCGCCAATGGGGCCTCCGGTGGAGCTCCCTATGGGGCCACGGAACGTTGTACTGTGTGGGGGAAACGCATGTGGACGTTGCCCTATGGAGGGGCCAGGAAGTGTCATGCTGGGTGGGGGACACGCATGCGAATACTGCCACTGGGGCCTTCGCTGGAGCTTCCTATGGGGCCACGAAGCGTGTGAGGGGTGTGCCGGAATGGGTGGCGCGGACGCATGTGGACACCGCTATTGGGGCCTTCGGTGGAGCTCCCTACGGTACCATGAAACGTGTGAGAGGTGTGCCGAAATTGTTGGCGCGAACGCATGTGGGCACCTCCACGGAGGCCGTCGGTGGAGCTCCCCATGGGGCCACGACACGTGTGAGGGATGCGCCGAACAGGGTGGCGCGGACGCATGTGGACACCGCCACTGTGGCCTTCGGTAGAGCTCCGTGTGGGGCCACGAAACGTGTGCGGGGTGTGTTGACATGGCTGTCGTGGACGCATGTGGACACACCCATTGGCTCCCCGTGTGCCGAAATGGGTGGCGCGGACGCATGTGGACACCGCCACTGTGGCCTTCGGTGGAGCTCCTTGTGGGGCCACGAAAAGTGTGAGGGGTGTGCCGACATGACTGTCACGGACGCATGTGGACACCACCAGTAGGGCTTTCGGTGGATCTCCCCGTGTGCCGAAATGGGTGGCGCGGACGCATGTGGACACCGCCAGAAGGGCTGTTGGTGGAGCTTCTTGTTGGGCCACGAAGCGTGTGAGGGGGGTGCCGAAATGGGTGGCGCGGACGCATGTAGACACCACCAGGAGGGCTTCCGGTGGAGCTCCCTATGGGGCCACGAAGCGTGTGAGGGGCGCGCCGGGAT